CAGTCACACAATAACACTATTACAGGTACAAAGTCACACAATTAACACTACAACAGTACACAAGTCACACTATTACAGGTACAAAGTCACACAATAACACTATTACAGGTACAAAGTCACACAATAACACTACTACAGGTACAAAGTCACACTATTAAAGGTACAAAGTCACACAATAACACTATTACAGGTACAAAGTCACACAATAACACTACTACAGGTACAAAGTCACACAATAGCACTACTAGCACCACTCTATGTACATGTATTACAACACGTAAAAAAGTCATAGTTCATTGTATGTAACACTAACATTAATAAAACATCGTTTTTTGTTCCTTCGCTCATTGTCACCATATGGCGTTGAAAATCTTTCCTTTTTTATTTTTCTTGTATTTTGTTATCAAGTGATTTAGAACCGACATAATTTGCCTTCCCCGTTACTTGCAGTCGAGTCGATACAGACGGCTGTATAAAACTTACAATGCGATCTCTAAGATACATCGCTAGGACCGTTCGCCGTCAGTCGTAGTATGCCTGCAGCATGCGACTATTCCACTGAAGTCATGCAGTACCACACGCGCGTACACGTGCATGTCATTGCCCGTGCAAATCTATAACTCGTTTTACTATATCCGGCGGCATTTTGTTTGATCTGGGACCACCAAAGACACAAGCCCGACTTTGAGCATCCCTCCACACCTTTGATAGTTGTTTTCTGGTCGGTTTGTTCAATGGGTATTTCCTGCTTGGTTCGCCAATAGTATTGTAATCAAAGTAAAAGTTCTAACCTGTACAGTAGACTTTCACCTTACCAAACAGAGTGGTTTCTTCTCGGTCAGCACGTGTTCGTTCAAGCAATAGACCGCTGCTACATGTACTGGGGTCGTTTTTATTTGTTAACACTTTGCCGAAATCCATTCCAAATCCGACAACATTACAACTAATTCATAATCTATAGATGACAAACATGGCCTTTGCATTTGCATATTTTTGATAGCTAGTAAAACATTGAAATTTTGGCCAATTAGCAACTCGCACTCGTAGCCTCCAGGCGTGAGGCCTTTATCAACGTCCAATTAAGATAGCATGGTGTTGATACGTACATTGTAAATTGTGTTTGATAATATCAGGCCACTGAGAATATGGGAAAATTGCTATTTTTCTTCTCTCTGTTTCGTCGTCGTTCATACCCGCGGTGATTTTTTTCAGAATCGCCAGACAGAGCAGACAGAGATGTTTGCCCTCGAGACCTTTACAAGTCAAATGATATCATCACAAACATGTCTGGTCATTTGTTTTACTAGAAATTCACCTCCTACAATGATAATCAATGCTTCGGGCAAGACAACGCACTGATCAGCCTTGTTCTCTAATTTTTCAGTCCCCTTTTCTTTATACAAATTTCGTATACGTTTCATACAAATGTCTGTCCAGTCACGTACAAATGTCTGTCCAATTCAAACAAATATCTGTACAGCTCATACAAATGTCTGTCCAGTCACCTACAAATGTCTGTCCAGCTCATGAAAATGTCTGTCCAGTCACGCACAAATGTCTGTGCAGTCACGTACAAATGTCTGTCCAGCTCAGGCAAATGTCTGTCCAGCTCATACAAATGTCTGTCCAGTCACATACAAACGTCTGTCCAGTTCATACAAATGTCTGTTTAGTCACGTACAAATGTCTGTTCAGTCACGCACAAATGTCTGTGCAGTCACGTACAAATATCTGTCCAATTCATACAAATATCTGTATAGATCATACAAATGTCAGTGCAGTCACGTAAAAATGTCTGTCCAATTCATACAAATATCTGTACAGATCATACAAAAGTCTGTCCAGTCACATACATATGTCTGTCCAGCTCAGGCAAATGTCTATCCAGCTCATACAAATGTCTGTCCAGTCACATACAAACGTCTGTCCAGCTCATACAAATGTCTGTCTACTCACGTACAAATGTCTTTCCAGTCACGTACAAATATCTGTCCAGTCACGTTCAAATGTCTGTCCAGTCACGTACAAATGTCTGTCCAGTCACGCACAAATGTCTGTCCAGTCACGTACAAATGTCTGTCTAGCTCATACAAATGTCTGTCTAGTCACGTATAAATGTCTGTCCAGTTACGTTCAAATGTCTGTCCAGTTCATACAAATGTCTGTCCAGTCACATACAAACGTCTGTCCAACTCATACAAATATCTGTCTTGCTCATAAAATTTCTGTCCAGTCACGCACAAATGTCTATCCAGTCACGTACAAATGTCTGTCCAGTCACATACAAACGTCTGTCCAACTCATACAAATATCTGTCTTGCTCATAAAATTTCTGTCCAGTCACGCACAAATGTCTATCCAGTCACGTACAAATGTCTGTCCAGCTCAGGCAAATGTCTGTCCAGCTCATACAAATGTCTGTCTACTCACGTACAAATGTCTTTCCAGTCACGTACAAATATCTGTCCAGTCACGTTCAAATGTCTGTCCAGCTCATACAAATGTCTGTCCAGTCACGCACAAATGTCTGTCCAGTCACGTACAAATGTCTGTCTAGCTCATACAAATGTCTGTCTAGTCACGTATAAATGTCTGTCCAGTTACGTTCAAATGTCTGTCCAGTTCATACAAATGTCTGTCCAGTCACATACAAACGTCTGTCCAACTCATACAAATATCTGTCTTGCTCATAAAATTTCTGTCCAGTCACGCACAAATGTCTATCCAGTCACGTACAAATGTCTGTCCAGTCACATACAAACGTCTGTCCAACTCATACAAATATCTGTCTTGCTCATAAAATTTCTGTCCAGTCACGCACAAATGTCTATCCAGTCACGTACAAATGTCTGTCCAGCTCAGGCAAATGTCTGTCCAGCTCATACAAATGTATGTCCAGTCACATACAAACGTCTGTCCAGTTCATACAAATGTCTGTCCAATTCACACAAATGTCTGTCCAGCTCATGAAAATGTCTGTCCAGTCACGCACAAATGTCTGTCCAGTCACGTACAAATGTCTGTTTAGCTCATACAAATGTCTGTCTAGTCACGTACAAATGTCTGTCCAGTTACGTTCAAATGTCTGTCCAGTTCATACAAATGTCTGTCCAGTCACATACAAACGTCTGTCCAACTCATACAAATATCTGTCTTGCTCATACAAATGTCTGTCCAGTCACGTACAAATGTCTGTCCAGTCACGTACAAATGTATATCCAGCTCATACAAATGTATGTCCAGTCACGTAAAAATATCTGTCCAGTCACATAAAAAATGTTTGTCCAGCTCATACAAATATCTGCAAAGCTCGTACAAAAATATGTCCATCTCAGGTCAATGTCCGTCTAGCTCAGGCAAATCCTGTCCAACTTCGTAAGAATGTCTTTCCAATCTCGTACAACTTGCGACTGTCGTTCGTATCAATGTCTGCTAATTCTCATACAAATATGCGTCCATTTTCGTATTAATCTCTGTCAAGCCTCGTATACAAAGTCCTATCCAGTCTCGTATACAAATGTCTGTCCAGTCTCGTACAAAAATGTCTGCCCAGTGTCGTATGAAATATCTGTCCAGTCTCGTATAAAAATGTCTGTCCAGTGTCGTATAAAATGTCTGTCCAGTGTCGTATGAAATATCTGTCCAGTCTCGTATCAAAATGTCTGTCCAGTGTCGTACAAAAATGTCTGTCCAGTGTCATATAAAATTATCTATCCAGTGTCATATGAAATATCTGTCTAGTGTCGTATAAAAATGTCTGTCCAGTGTCGTATAAAAATGTCTGTCCAGTATCGTATCAAAATGTCTGTCCAGTATCGTATAAAAATGTCTGTCCAGTCTCGTACAAAAAGGTCTGTCCCGATTCGTTCCCATTGACCAGCTTTAGTGAAAATAAAGAAATGTGACGGATTTAATTAATAATATAAGAAATGGAAATTAATTTCAGATCACCTTAAAAACATTATCCTGTTATTTTGTAATCGATACAGAAAATATTATTTCATTTGTCATTCTTCACTCCATCTTCGATTCATAATGATCGTTTCCATAGTGACGTCTTAATATGATCTGCGAGTATTTGACGTCATTTCACGACCATCTATCGCCATACGTCACAAAAGGTCCAATGACACGAGGATGTTCACTGAATAGTTCGTAAATCATACCATCAAAATTCACCTGTTCAGATTCATACAAAAGCATTGTTAAATATCATCGACAAAAGTGATGTAGGAAGACTGTTAGAACTCAACACCGATACTAGAGGAAACAGTAGAACACACTATAGGCAAAAAATCATTCTCACAGAAATTTACAAAATCCTGGAATCAGCTACCCGAAGAAATCGTAACACCTGATCTACTGAACACATCACGTTACGACTTAACAACCAAAGGAAACACCTCGAAATTAAAAACCTGAGATTCAGGAAACCTTAGTGATGGGTCAGACAGCTTAGCGTTCTACATTAGCCTCATCTTGTCGCCCCGGCATAGTTATCATTGTATTATGTCACACAACTCCCGATATACGTTTTACAGTGCACGTGTGTTCTGTAGCACAAGCTAGCATGAAGTCGTCAAAACATACCAACACAGTATAAATGGTACATACTTAATGTAGAGTGTATGGGTGCGCGATCGTTTTACACTGCCAAACGTATACATGTTTGTGTCAGGGTCCGCGTGCGTGTGTATGCTTGTTTTTTTTTGTGTATTTGACCTAAACACTATTCATGATATATATTTCCTCTGTAAGCTGCAATACGTACTATCACTTTTCCAACTCAGCACTACCAGTCCTCCGTCGTTACCACACTTCTATAGCATTATTGATTACCAGCCTACCAACCAACGGGCTCGCTCCTCACGCGCGCCGAGCCAATCACATTCCAAGGTGTGGTTTGCCGATCCAACTTATTAAAAGGATACATTAGTTGAATTGCAGGCACCGAGATAAGAGTGAACGGTTTACTCCCAAGGGAGTCACTCTCTCATATAAAGTGGTTGGACCTGAGGTACGGGATGGGTACTAAATTTATCAACATGGCATTGTTTATCCGCTACTCTCGCTAACCTGAACAAAAAAGTGTCGTGTCATAAGGCGGACATATCCAGTTAACACTAAGTTTTGGACTTAAAGTTTTCACAAGTGTAGCAGTTAAAGTGCTGGAATGTATGTTATCATTACTTTGGGACAGGACACGTGACCGGACTGTTTAAAGGAGTCTACACCCCGTTACAAGGTGAGGCGTGTATTTCAGAAAAAAACGGCAAACTGCTTTAACAGTTCAAGACAATTAATCATCTCCAATTTTCATGAAAGTTGTAATTTATCTGGGCCAAAGTCAACATTTACTTAGATGTAAATTATAGAACATTTCTGAGGATTGACAACATTCACAATGGCTAATTCCAATGTCACCTCCGAACCTGTGGAAGAGAACGCGGGTATTCTAAACAACAGCGTTTGTAATTTTACTGGGACAGGGAACTGTTCCAATGTCACAGAACACTTTGACTTGATACATCCTGTACCGCAGATCGTGGTTCCTATTCTGTTTGTTATACTTATGTTGACTGGTGTCCTAGGGAACGGTACACTCATATTTACCGTCCTACGAAACAAATCCATGCGGAATGTTCCGAATATTCTCATTGTAAATTTGTCTGCCGGGGACTTGCTTCTTCTGTTGATGTCCGCGCCGTTTTCAGCGACAGTCTTTACATTGGAATCTTATCCTTTCGGGGAGTTGATATGTAAGATGAACGAATACCTGCAGACCTTGTCGGCTGGAGTGTCGATTCTCACTCTCACTGCCCTTAGTGGTGACCGCTACGTCGCCATTGTGTATCCGATGAGCAAGCACAAGGGTAAACCGACGGTTAAGACATCAATTGCCGTGGCATCCATTTGGATAATTTCCGCTATTTTCGCTATCCCTGATGCCATCAGTTTTAACATCGAGTTTTCGGAGGTTTATTACTGCCATCCGTTTCCCGACCGATGGCACGAGTGGTATGGGAAAGCCCACTGTTTGTTTCGCTTCTTCACTCTCTTCTTGATCCCTCTCATTATCATTGGGACATTCTATTGCTTAATGGCACGGATCCTTGTCAAAAGCAGTCGCCAGATGCCTTGTGAAGCCACAAAGGGCCCAGGGCAGAGTCAGCAACAACAGCGCCAGATCGAGGCTCGAATGAAAGTGGCGCGCGTGGTATTGTCGTTCGTTCTTCTGTTCGTCATTTGCTGGCTTCCTCGCCATGTCTATCTAATCTGGTTCTACTGGACCGATTTCGACTTTAGCGACTTCTGGATATGGTTCAAAGTTTTCGGTTTCTGTCTTACTTATGTTTACTCATGTGTCAACCCCTACGCACTTTACTTCCTGAGCAGTCAATTCCGGAAGTACTATAACCGCTACCTGTTCAGGTGCTGTCCGAAGTCTTATCGACTACGGGATTCCAATGGCTCCGGACTACAAAGCTACAGTACAGTCCGGAGGGGCAGCACCTCTCTAACTATGGTCAAGTCCAATTCAGAAATGTGATCATTTCTACCTTCCTAACGGGAGAGGTAGTCGCTAACTTGTCTGTAGTATCGGGTGCATTCGATTCATACCGCTGGACGCGTTCGTTTCATACAAGTTAAGGTGTGTTGAACATCATCAAATTCATGTTTTACTTTAAAAACAATGATAATCTGAGCGTCCAGCGAATTTCACTTCCCACGTGACGTTGATGGATCAGGGTACATTAATGGATACGATTGTTATTACTACAAGTGGTCCAAATATCAACTTTTATTCCGGGAAATGAGCTGAATTCGTCAAAAATGTAAATTTACAGTTATTTGTTACATTTTTGAATGTCGGAGATTTCCAACTCTGTCAAAAGTTATTTATCGTTTGTTGTTGTGGTGCATCTGGGCCAAATCATGTATGCGTTTGTAACAGATGATTGTTAACTTGGATTAGTGATAGTTCTCGCTACATTGCTAAAATACAGATCCGACGTCCTTTGTACGGACGATTTGACACGGTGGAATATCTTTACAGCGGACGTTTGGACACGTTGGGACCTCGTCACAGTATTAAACAGAACGTCACATATCACTGCTGTGAGACCAACATTCTTTAATCTGGATTAGTAGAGTTTTCACACGGATTTCTAAAGTAATGTCATTGTCATGGTATGCTCTACTGGGGGCACCCTCCGAGAAAGCATCCTTAATATCCTGTCTGTATTTATATAACTTACTTACCCGTTTACAAACAGAAATGTGACTGAAAAGTAAGGCTGGGGTCGGGATTTTTTTTAAAAATCCTTTTTCAACATTTATTTATTTGAAATCTATGTCATTTTTAAAACTCATTCGATTGGTCCCAAGATTCGTTTCCACTGACACGACACGGCAGCTTTTCTAGATTTCTCAAGTCAATATTGATGTCTAAATGGAGAAGAAAACAAATGTAAAAATTGCTTTATTTATGTCCTTATTGTATCTTGATATATAGATATAGTACTCAACCTTAATTCTATGTATCGTTATTAACAGAGGTTTTAAAATTGACTTTAAGATGAATCACATTCTACAAAATATCACAAGATATCACATTCATCTTATAACCCTATCACAGATACCCAGATATGTATTCATCTTTTTCTGAAATAATATGAAAACATTTTACAGATAAACACCCTCAAATCTACTTTCACAAATCACAAAAATAAATCGGTATTCAGTTCTAAATGAAAGTTACACGGAATGAAGACTTAGATCTTTCAAGTCCTCGCCATTTTTGGTATAATGTTGTTGATCTAGGGGGCAGTTTATAACGCATCATTAAGACTATGAAATGAAAATGTTCCGAAAATCATGTTTTCGTTTCCCTCTTTCTTGGAAGCGGCAAGGACAATATTTGGCGGCAATAAGGTCCAAGAAAATAGGATTCCATAAGTGATATACAAGTTCTTTATAGTAATATATTCGGGACTATGTCTTAAGGAACTTTATAGTAATACATTCGGGACTCTGTCTAAAAGAAATTAATAGTAATATATTCGGGACTCTGTCTAAGAGTAATTAATAGTAATATATTCGGGACTCTGTCTAAGAGTAATTAATAGTAATATATTCGGGACTCTGTCTAAGAGTAATTAATAGTAATATATTTGGGACTCTGTCTAAGGGAACTTAATAGTAACATAAACTTTATAGGAATGTAGTAATATATTCGGGACTCTGTTTTAATAGGTGAACTTTATAGTAATGTATTTCGGGTGTCTACACTCTCTAACTTTATAGTAATATATTCGGGACTCTGCCTAAAAGAAATTAATAGTAATATATTTGGGACTCTGTCTAAGGGAACTTAATAGTAACATAAACGGGAATCGGTCTAAAGGAACTTTATAGTAATACATTCGGGACTCTGTTTAAGGGAACTTTATAGTAATGTATTAGGGACACTCTCTAAGGGAACTTTATAGTAATATATTCGGGACTCTGCCTAAAAGAAATTAATAGTAATATATTCGGGACTCTGTCTAAAAGAAATTAATAGTAATATATTTGTGAATCTGTCTTTTGGGAATTTAATAGTAACATATTCGGGATTCTGTCTAAGGGAACTTTATAGTAAAATATTCGTGACTCTGTCTAAAAGAAATTAATAGTAATATATTTGTGAATCTGTCTTTTGGGAATTTAATAGTAACATATTCGGGATTCTGTCTAAGGGAACTTTATAGTAAAATATTCGTGACTGTGTCTAAAGGAACTTAATAGTAACATATTTGAGACTCTGTCTAAGGGACTTTATCGTAAAATATTCGGGACTCTGTCTAAGGGACTTTATAGTAAAATATTCGGGACTCTGTCTAAGGGACTTTATAGTAAAATATTCGGGACTCTGTCTAAGGGACTTTATCGTAAAATATTCGAGACTCTGTCAAAAGGAACTGTATAGTAATATATTCGGAAATCTGTTTAAAGGAACTTAATAGTAACATATTCGGGACTCTGTCTAAGGGACTTTATCGTAAAATACTGTCTAAGGAACTTTATAGTAATATCTCCGTGACTCTGTCTACATGAACTTTATAGTAATACATTCAGGATTCAATGGAACTTAATAGGAATATATTCGTGACTCTGTCTAAGGGAGTTTATAGTAATACATTCGGGACACTATCTAAAGGAACTTTATAGTAATATATTCGGGACTCTGTCTAAGAGAAATTAATAGTAATGTATTCGGGACACTATCTAAGGGAACTTTATAGTAATATATTCGGGACTCTGTCTAAAGGAACTTGATAGTAACATATTTGGGACTCTGTCTATAGGAACTTGATAGTAACATATTCGGGATTCTGTCTATAGGAACTTGATAGTAACATATTCGGGACTCTGTTTGAAGGGACCTAAAAATGTTATATTTATATTTATTTTATATTAAATGTGTGATGTGATATAGTGAGAGGAAAGTTATTAACAATCCTATGTACCTGGATGTTTTCTCGAGTGCCCCCAAGTATCCAAGTTCTATATTGTATGTGCTGTCATGTAGATAACATTGATTCGATGTATACAGACCAGGGTCTGAATAAACTGTTATTAAACAAGAAGGATTTTGATTTATTTTAGGTGTTGACGGCGAACTGGTTTCTTGGTGACCACTACTAGAATTTATATTCATTTAGGTATTGCGAGCCATTGGGGTAACAAAAATACAAAGCTAGAAAACCTGGCGTGAGAGTTTAAGTAAGAACACATGTACCATTCAATTCCTTTCTATTTAATCAGTATCGAAATCGACTATCTAAATAACGGACATGCGCACAACGCTGGTCATATAAAAAGTACGTGTTGTAGGGATGGCTAACTACCACGATACACGTTTTTTTTTTTTTTTTTGTATATCTCGCTTAATCGACATAAATAAATTGGTGTTACAGCTATTTGGAGACACGGTTATCTCGACAATGATTATGCAAGACAAAAAAGTTTCCTGTGACACATTGGAAAAATGTAGGGAAGGTAGGCGAAAAAAAGGCATAATGTAAACAAATAATGTTATATGGTCTACAGAAGAAAAGATCTTGACTTCTACGGTGATTCTTTAATAATTACATTAAAACATTGATGGTAGGCACAACATATTGAGGTAGGTAGGATTACTGCATGCGGGAAATACGTTCTCTTTTGCTACCCAATCCAAGAGACAATGATTCACCAATATGTCATTATGTCATTTTTGTGATACATTAGAGAGAGAGAGAGACAGAGAGAGACAGAGAGGGAGAGAGTGTAGGAGACACACAGAGAGACAGCGAGAGAGAGAGAAAGGGAGAGAGAGAGAAAGACAGGAGAGACAGAGAGAGTAGGAGAGACAGAGAAAGATAGACAGAGAGAGAAAGGGAGAGAGAGAGAGTCAGTAGGAGAGACAGAGAAAGAGAGAGAGAGAGAGGGAGAGACAGCGAGAGAGAGAGAGAGACAGCGAGAGAGAGACACAGAGAGTAGGAGAGACAGAGAGAGACATAAAGAGACAGAGAGACACAGACAGAGAGAATAAATTGTTAACGACCTAACTGCAACATCAATATTATTTGTAAGAGCAGAAGGAAGAAAGGATGAATTGGTAAAGTCTAAAACTTTGGTAAGGTGGCATCATTTCCTAAGGAGATATCAGACATATCGGTAAATTGTGTTAGGAAGAATTCTATTGAGCAAATCTGGAGTAAGTCTGTTTTTCATTTTATACAGTAATTGAAGTTGCCTCCTTTTTCTTCTCTCAGATAGTCTACACAATATTTTAAAAAAAAGTGTGGGGGTGGGAGGGGGGGTGGGGGGGTGGTGGGGTGGGGGGGGGGGGGGGGGTTGGTGGTTTAGTGGTTGGGTTATTGTCAGGGTTATCACATTTGTTGGAGATATTATTCTAAGTAAAGATCACGGTTACGTAGCGAAGATTCGATGAACTGTATGTACATATAATAATTTTTTCCTCATTTGCCTCCGAAAAGACAGATCTACGAAGTTTAATGCAGTGACTGGAAAGCTCTCTGATTGGACAGATTTTTGTTACATAATCAGGGGAATTACATTGTAATACAAATATTTCATCATTAAAAATGAAAGAATAATTATGAAAAGTTACATGTTTACTGAAATAACTTTCATTTTACACGATTCAGTGGTGGAAATCAGTAATATTTATTTCAATAAATACTTTGTCGTTTTTTTTCTCAATGAGAAACATCTGAATGTGTGATCTATAGCAGTCAATTACTCTAAGCACCCTTTTCATCGAAACAGGCCAATCTTTCTCATGTATTACATCAATAGAAAGTAAGGTGCCAAAACATTCTCAATAAAATAAATAAATAAAAAGATAAAAAATCAATTAATTTATCAATTAACCAATAAATAGATCACACGAAGTAGAGCTGGACGTCTCTAGAAAGGAGTGGAGGTATACAACAAGATTGATGGTAGATTCACCAACATTGATGGTAGATTTACAAACATTGATGGTAGATTTACCAACATTGATGGTAGATTTACCAACATTGATGGTAGATTTACAAACATTGATGGTAGATTTACCAACATTGATGGTAGATTTACCAACATTAATGGTAGATTTACCAACATTGATGGTAGATTTACAAACATTGATGGTAGATTTACCAACATTGATGGTAGATTTACCAACATTCATGGTAGATTTACCAACTTGAATGGTAGATTCACCAACATGAATGGTAGATTTACCAACATTGATGGTAGATGGTAGATTCACCAACAGTCATGGTAGATTTACCAACATTGATGTTAGATTTACCAAAATGGATCGTAAATTTACCATAATGGATGGTAGATTTACCAAAAATTGATGGTAGACTTACCATAATGGTTGGTAGATTTACAAACAATGATGGTAGATTTACCAACATTGATGGAAGATTTAACAACATGGATGGCAACACTGATGGTAGATTTACCAACATTGACGGTAGATTCAGCAACATTGATGGTAGATTTACCAACATTGCTGGTAGATTCACCAACATGGATGGTAGATTAACCAACATTGATGATAGATGGTAGATTCACCAACATTGATGGTAGATTAACCAATATTGATGGTAGATTTAGCAACATTGATGGTAGATTCACCAACATTGATGGTAGATTTACCAACATTATTGGTAGATTCACCAACATGGATGGTAAATTTACCAACATTAATGGTAGATTCACCAACATGGATGGTAGATTAACCAACATTGATGATAGATGGTAGATTCACCAACATTGATGGTAGATTAACCAACATTGATGGTGGATTTACCAAAATGGATCGTAAATTTACCATAATGAATGGTAGATTTACCAACATTGATGGTAGATTTACCATAATGGATTGTAGATTTACAAACAATGATGATAGATTTACCAACATTGATGGTAGATTTAACAACATGGAAGGTAACACTGATGGTAGATTTACCAACATTGACGGTAAATTCAGCAACATTGATGGTAGATTGACCAACAATGACGGTAGATTCAGCAACATTGATGGTAGATGGTAGATTCACCAACATTGATAGTAGATTTACCAACATGGATGGCAACACTGATGGTAGATTTACAAACACTGATGGTAGATTCACCAACATTAATGGAAGATTCACCAACATGAATGGTAGATTTCCCAACATTGATGGTAGATTTACCAACTTGAATGGTAGATTCACCAACATTAATGGTAGATTTACCAACATTGATGGTAGATGGTAGATTCACCAACATTCATGGTAGATTTACCAATATTGATGATAGATTTACCAAAATGGATCGTAGATTTACCATAATGGATGGTAAATTTACCAAAAATTGATGGTAGACTTACCATAATGGATGGTAGATTTACAAACAATGATGGTAGATTTAACAACACTGATGGTAGATTTACCAACATTGACGGTAAATTCAGCAACATTGATGGTAGATTTACCAATATTGATGGTAGATTTACCAATATTGATGGTAGATTCACCAACATTGATGGTAGATTTACCAACATTATTGGTAGATTCACCAACATGGATGGTAAATTTACCAACATTAATGGTAAATTCACAAACATTGATGGTAGATGGT